GTATGCACAGCTCAGTAAATTACCTGCTCAGTGTTCAGATTACTGAACTGTCATAGAGAAATAATTTCCTCAGAATTTAGTAATACAGTCTGTATTTCAAATACTGTACTCCTCAAAAAAGTCCTTTTAAATCTGTAGTACACATTCTCAATCTTTCCTACTGTCCAGCTGGATGAATCCCACTTTCTCTATGTCAAAGTCAATTCATAAGTCTTTCACTACCTAACTAGATAGATGCTAAAGATCAGGAACAATAAAAGAAACAATATATGCTACAGCTACTTGTATTAGCAAACAACTACATATGCCAGAAAGAACACATGATAATTAATGATATTTTCCAGGACTAGATTATGTAAATATATTTCATCTTAACATAGGAACTCCCTACACAGGCTGAAAAAGAACTTGTTTGTAGGGAGATGACAATCTTTTGCTGATGAAAAACAGAAGAAACAGTCTCTGTTAATGAATTTGGGGAAAAAAAACACTGTTCCCAGTTTAAGTAAGCATCAACTAGTTATCAAAAATTTTAGTGTTCATGGCTGATGATATGGCTCAGTGGTACAGTGCTTGTTTTACATGTGCTAAGCCTAGTTTCCATCTCCAGTACCACCAAAAATAAATAATGGGGGGTCTTTCTATACTATATCAAAGCACAACAGAAGTATACAGGATGTTAGTATTGGTTTTCAAAATAAGGATGTGAGTTTCATTTTTAGTTAAATTCCATTTACTTTGCTATGAAGTCTGCACAGATCCAAACCAAAGATTTGAAATGCCTTAAATATGCAAAACTCTTCACAGTTTCTAACAAATGTTCACAGACAGTGCTTGGTTTAGCCTCCCAGGAGCACAATGAGGCAGTACCAACATCGTCATTTTAAAATAATAAAGCTAAAGCACAGATACTATAAACATCTGGCCTAAGATCACTCCTCCACATCTTACCAAATGTACAATAAACCAAGACTCCACTTATATACACTTTTATTATATAATCCAGGTTTTCTGTGCAATGAAGAATAATGAGAAACATATATATATATATATATATATATATATATATAGAGAGAGAGAGAGAGAGAGAGAGAGACATACTCTCTCCAAGTTCTAGAGTAATAGTTCTTAACATACACATCACTATAACCCTTTGTGAAATCTAATAACAGGATCTTTATCCCATCAAAACAGAACATAAGTAAATATCCATGAGTATTCTTCATAGTATCCAAAGAGTGGAAGCCACCTAAACATATTCTGCTGAATGAATAAAAAAAAATTGCAGTATTTCCATACAGTACTATTCAGCCATAAAAAAGAATGTTATATTCATAAAACATGGGTGAACCCTGAAAACATTCCATTAAAAATGTAACAAAAGGATCACATATCATATGATTCCTTTTATTTGAAACATTCTTAATAACAAATATCACAAGAGTTGTTCTTATAGAAATTGAGTGTAAACCAGGCATGATGGCTCATGCCTACAATTCCAGCATGTGGGAGGCTGAAACAAGAGTATCTTTGTGAGTTCAAGACTAGCTTGGGCTGCAAAGTGAGCTCAAGGTAGCCTGAACTGTATAGTGAGACCTTATCTCAAAAAGATCAATAAATAAATAAATAAATGGTAGAATGTCAGTGTAAAACAGTGGTTAGTAGAGGGTGGAAAGAGTAGCAGGGAGGGAAGAATTAGAGTTGAAAGATGGTTACTAAGCTATAGTTCAATTGGAGTGAGAAGTTCTGAATATGTCATTACACTGGAGGGACATTATAAATCATTACAATGTACTATATGTTTCCAAAAGAGGAAACAATTTTGAAAGCTTTCATCATGAAGAAATAATCAATGACTGAAGAGATAAATATGATTAACCTGACTTAAACATTATGCAATAGGGCCAGGGATATAGCTCAAGAGCACAGAGCCTGCCTGGCAAGCACAAGATCCTGAGTTCCACTCTCCATATCAAAACTTTATGCAATATGTGTATTGAATATTTCATGGCACCCATTAATCTCCAATTTTATGTTTTACGTACCTGCTAAAAATAAATTGAAAGCAGCCTCTATGTCAACAGACAGATGGAGAAAGAAAATGTGGTATTTAAAATCATTGAGTACTACTCTCAATAAAGAATAAACTTGAATCATTTATAGGAAAATTGATGCATTTTGAGAACATGTTAAGTAAAATAAGTCAGACACACAAGCTTAAATATCACATAATTTCTTTTACATAAGAAATAATGATAAAAATAAAGATCAAAATACCTGATAGATAATAAGAGGTAGGGAGCTAGAGCTTGTTTAATTGGGAAGGGGATCAAGAAAACAAGGGGGAAGATAAAAGAAAGAAAGGGGATGAATAAAGAACTCAGATGTGTTATGTGCATGCACCAACTCCCCACAAGGAATGGAACCATTATGTAATGCAAACATGAACTATTAAAAAAACTGCAAATGGAAAATTAATATTTCCATGTTTAAGTCAAAAATAACTTTTAAAAGTGAAACATACAAATAGGCAAGTCAATTGAGACAAAAAGTAGACTGGCTATTGTTTAAGGTTTGAGGGAGGTCAGAGTCAAATGTGGCTTATTTGGCTGATGAAAATGTTCTGAAACTGACCATTATATATAGTGGTATACAGCCAGTGTGCACTAATACCTAAATTGTCTGGTATGTGAATTGTATCTCATTGAGGAATTTTGTTTTGTGGTACTAGGAATTGAACCTAGGGTCTTTTCACTGAGCTGTATTATACCCCCCACCTTTTAAATTTTTTTGAGACAAGGTCTCCCAAGTTTCTAAGTTGTGCATGTTGGGCTAGAATTCATAGACCTCCTGTCTTAACCTCCTTCACTGCCAGGATTACAGTCATGCATCACCGTGCTTGGTTTAAAATATTAAACCACTGAAAGTAGACAGGTAAAATTTTCCAAGTAACTACGGGGGCTCTATAAAGCCCTAAATCTCTTCTACAGGTACAGTGACGTCCAATACTCAACTTTAGTTAATTCTTGTTCTACAGAAACAAGAATCACCATCCTATTTTGTTTCACAAATACTTGATTTCAGCTGTTCACACAACCACTACCAAACAAGCCTAAGCTTCATACTTCTAAAAATCACTGCTTCGTCTATTTATTACATCCTATGATCACAGAAGTTTTCCAAACTGATTCATTGTAAACAGTTAAATGATTCATACTTAAAGTGTCATTTTAATGGCTAGAAAAAAATCTTTAATAATTGAGCATCTATTACCTGCAAGGCATGGTTGAAATTCAAAGATGTAGTAGATTCTGCCTTCAAAGAGCCTAAAACCTAATAGGCAAGATAAGATCAACACACAAGTAACAATATACAAAATAGAAGGCTCATTTATCTATTTAAAATGTCACTAAAAATCAGCCAAAATGATTAAAAGAAGGGTTCTTCGCAAAGGTGCATATTTAAAACTTTTTAACCTTGAAAAATAGATAGGGCCAGGCACGGTGGTAACAGCCTGTAATCCCATCACTCTGGAGGCTGATGCAGGAGGATCCTTATGAGTTTCGAGGCCAGCCTGGGCTACACAGTGAGTTCCAGGCCAATGTGAAATCCATGGACAGCTAAATCTTGTCTCAAAAAGACCAGAAAAAAAGGTAGTATCTTAACATGAATAGGGAGAAGGATATAGGTACGTGTTTGATTTCCGCTGTTCACACAATCAGAGGGACAGTGCAGCACAACAACATTTCCTTGGAACTGCATTATGTTTATCTTTAACCTGTGGTGTTTCATGGTAATGCACAGCCATAGGTAGTAACCATTTCAGAGTGTAAATTTAGCACATATGGTACATACTTTCCAGATAACAGCTGGACCAAGGATGTTTCAGAATAATTCCTAGAAATTATGAGGAAGGGCTTAAGGATCAGGCTAAAGGTTCAAGACTTTATTTGGTAGCCTCTGAGACCTCAGAAGGCTGCTGAAATAAAGAAAAACTACAGGCAAGGAAACAAATTAGGAGACTATTATAACAGGGAGCATAGTGCCCATTTTTATCAAGGTATGCCTCGCCACTGAAAATAGGTGGTATTCTGACATGCAGCTACTCATTCAGCATACAGTGAGGAGGACTGAAGTGTAATAGTGCACACCTGTAGTCCCAGTTCCTTGGGAAGCTGACAGGAATGTCACTTGAGCCCAGGAGTTCCAGGTCAGCACAGACAACACAGCAGGACCTCTTCTCAAAAAAAGGAAAAAAAGCGCAACCAAATAAAGAAACCACCTGCAGTTCATTATGGTACATACTTTCCATGTTTTCCATGGGTTTTCAAAAAGCAATTTGAAAACAGCATTTTGACATGAAGTTTAGGCTACAAGGGTTTATAAGGCAGCTGGAGTGAAAGGCTCCTTTAGCTCTGTTATCTATGTTCTGTAAATTTGCAGTGAAACAGTCAATAACAATTACATGATATACTTTCACGTGGCCAGGTAAACCTGAAATTCTACATATTGAATGTAGAATTAAATGACATTTTTTCTGTAGCAAACACTGAGGAATCAGAGGGACAGTGTAGCACAACAGCATTTCCTTGGAACTGCATTATGTTTATCTGTGAACCTGCAGTAATGCACAGCCATAGGTAGTAACCATTTTAGTGTGTAAATTTAGCACGTAGACAAACACTGGGCGTTTACCTGCTGAGGATTCGTCATTGCTCAAAGAGACAAAGAGATCTGGAGAGTCAGGTCTAATCTTTACTCAAAGTGAATTACAAACTAGGAAAAGGTTGAAAGTGTGTGTCAAAGGACTGCTCTGGAACATATTCCTCAAAGAAAAGGCTCTGCCCTAATCTCTCCAAAGACCATTTCCTCAAGGGCAAGAACACTACTCCTAAGGGTTTGTTTGTTTGGTTTGTTTTTTTTTAAATTTCCAATCCCCGCCCACTCCTTGCAGACCCTTCTCTGTCCAGTCTGCCTTTCCCCTTCCATTCTTGACTTACTTGTCCCGGATGATGGTCTGCAACTCTCGGATCTGATCATTCATAGGCAGAAGTTTCAGCTGCGACCCTATCTGTCGGGAGAGTTCGCAGTCCCCTAGAAGGGTGTCGCCAGCAGGTGCGTCATAGTTGCTACTGTTACAAATGTCGCTGGTGCTCTCAGAGTTAAGGTTCGTGGTGCCACAGGCCTGAGAATCACACTCAGCAGGCACGCTACAATGGGCGTGCCCAGTGAGGAGAGTCAGTTTAGCCGCGGCAGCGCTATTTTCCCCGGTACAATCCGGGATCGGGTCTCCAGGTCGCAGCAGCTCGGGACTTGGGGTTGAGGCAGAGTTTACTTGCTGGTTGTGACAGGGCATGGAGTCTGGATGCTGTACCTCCGTGGCCATACACCAGGTTCCAGGCTGTCCCTGTACTACCGCACCCTAAGAATAAGGGAGAACCAGGATTAAGGACTGATGCTTGTGCGCTTTCTCAGCCGCCGCGTCCACTCCCATTCCCCTGCTCCTCCCTCCTTCTTCCCGTTGTCTTCCTCCTCTTCTTCCAAATCTGTAACCCTGACTGCCCTCTCACCCTTAGGCCGCTGCTGGTTCCCTTTCTCAAGCTTTGTCCCACTCCCACCCCCACCAGACGTACCGCTTGCGTAAACACCCTATTGGACACTCTCCCTGCCACTCTTTAGCACGCTGCTCGTTAACTCTTTGAGTCCACCCCTATTGCATGATTTCCTTCACGTAGCCTGGCAGACCTAGTTGCGGGGAGGAGGTGGGGGAAAAGGGGAGCTTCTGCCTTGGGCTCTTTGCGTGATTGGTAGAGACATGAGAAGCTGAAAGTACATTACATACCTAAAGCCCATCTTTAGAGATTTTGTGAGTTGGCAGAGCAATTACACTTCACTCAGTGCATCTTCAAGATAGATTGCTTTACCGAAGGAGGAAGTAAAAATGCCTAGCAGGCTGCTGAAGAAGCGGTCCACCCACAACCAACAGCTTCACAAGTGTACTTCACCAGTAAAGCTTCTTATGGTTATTGGTTGGGTCCTACAGTGTGCACATTACCATAGGAATTGTGAGAGCATTTCAGATCCACTATTATTTTGTTTCTTTTAAATGAATACTTGGAAATAAAAATCTAAGGTAAAGAGTGTCTCAGGCAGTACTTTTTAAAACTCCATGTGTGTTAGAACTGTAGTGCTTGTTAAAATGCAGATTTTCATGGCCCACTTTTGACAATCTGATTTGGCAAATCTGAAATGAGACTCAGATAACAGCAATTCTATTTTTTAAAATAGTATCTTGAATAATAAGAGACTTACCAAACTGCCTTTCTAAAAGACCCATAACCTGAAAATAAAAAATCTGTTAAATCTGCCAACAGATTGGGGACGTTTGACAAGCTCTTTGTCCTCTCTAGATTTGACTTTCCCCATCTATAACATGAGATAGGTTAATTGTTCGACCACCAAATTATTTCTTCCACACTGAAAATAACCACTATATGCAGGGATGCAGAGAAATATGGATAACAGTTAAGAGTAGCCACAGGACATATGAGAACTTGTACTGTAACGTCATGTACCTCGGTAGTGTCCCAAATTTTCTGATCAAGAAGATTATGGGGCCAAAGAGGAAAGTGATCG